CTAGATCCTTGGCTCGGGCGCACCCTGGTGAACCACCGTCTCGTATTTCTCTGGGCGGCGGTTTCCTTGCCTCTTCGTTTCGGCATTTAAGACTCTGAGAGTAGGTACACAGGTGACAGGAGCGAGAGATTACCAGCAACGGCGGCCTTGTTTCTGGTTTATTACTCCCCCGTACCCGCCGCCGTCGTCTCGTTGCCGATTGCTTCTTTCCCAGTTTTCACCTCGATTCGACCACCACGAATAAGATTGATACCCGCAAGCACCACTTTTTGCCCTGCTCGCCTTCCAAGTCGTGTGTAATTGCTCTCTTGGTCTCATTTCGTTATCCCGTCGTGCCATCACGCGAATCTCGCCCACGTGTTGTCCACCTACACCAACGCCAATCCCAACTTCGACCCCAAGACGACATCGTTGATCACCGCACTGAACGACAGAGGATCCCCTCGATCATCGATAGCCGATTCCAGAACCAACAAACCAAACATCCAGACCAACACCCGCCAAGATGAAGTACACCGTCGCACTCAGCATCTTCGCTGGCCTCGTCGCCGCGCAGTCCGCCACCACGACCGCCGCCTCGTCCAGCTCAACAGACCTCGCGGGTCTCGTCGCCCAACTTCCCTCATGCGCAACCAGCTGTCTCACCAAAGCCGCCACGACCATCGGGTGCTCCGCGACCGACTTCACATGTCTCTGCAATAGCAAGGACACTCTTACGTCCAGCTTGACGACCTGCATCCTCACTGCCGGGTGCTCCACCACTGAGATTGCCAGTAAGTCTTCTTTCCAAAGACTATAGATATCAAGAATAATGCATGGCTAACTCGATGGGTTTATAGCCGCCGCCAAGGTCGCCCCGCAAATCTGCAGCTACGTCGAAGCCAACCCCGACTCCTCCGCCATCGCCTCCGCATCGAACCTCCTCAGCGGTGCCCTCGCGACTGCGTCTGCGACCGCGACCGCTAGCTCCGCGTCCCCGGCCAGCGCCACGACCGCCGCCGCCGCGCGTCCGGAGATGGGCTTCGGCATGATCGGCGCCGCCATGCTCGGTGCCGCGATGCTTTAAACGGCGGAAAGTGCAAACAACATTGGATTTAACATGGGTCACTGGCGTTTTGGGACTGATTGTAACCACTGGGGCACGGGTCATCGGTTGCATTTGACTTTAGACGGGCGCGAAGCCCTCTTAGACGTTCTCTTCATGACTCTTGAGCTTTGGGGTTTGACGAGGTTTTGGGCGATTGGTAGCACCGCTTTAGGTCGCTGTTCTCTTCGAAGTTCTTCACGCGTGATTGCGTTGGCGCGCCCGCACTACATACCCTTACTAGCATCAATTTGCAGATTTTGTTGGTGCTGTCTTCATGCTTTGAAATTTCCATTCCAAACTTGCGCATCAACAGAATGAGAGATGACTAGGTAATCTCCTTCATGACCAGAAGGTACTCACCTGGCCATACTGCTACTTAGATGCGGCTAGATTACCTGTCGTCTTGGGTCGCGTTATTCAGGTGAGCAATCGCTGCTTGGTGAACAGGGCAAGAATCATCCACGTCCCAAAGATTTGGTAGAACTGATTATACTTTGTAACGCAAACATCAGACGGGTTCCCCGCCCCTATAAACTAATATAGGCATGTTTACACGCCCCTTCCCCTCTCTCTGCCACAGAGGCTGGAGGGATCTGACTACCTAACTGTAGGTCTCACAGGATATCTGATTGTAACAGTCGATGGTGTAGCGTCAACTTGACGACCTGGCAGCTTGTTTGATGAGGTAACTGGCCTTGGACAAGATTCAGTGCCCAACTGCTGAGTAGAAAATCGAGTCAACGAATTGACTAAAATGCATCACTCTGGATAGCAGCCTGCATCTCCGTCTCTATGAAATACCAGGACACAAGATAGCACCCGCAACTGAAGGCCAGAGATATACTGAAACACACCGCCGTGACAATCTCGGGGCCCCAAACCACCGCCCGCGCTGCTTCTGCATAAACGGCGATGCACATGCTTACAATGACAAACATAATGCTATTTCCCAATAGCATAGTGGGTGTCTGCCACGCAAAAGATTTCCAAAATAACTGCGACTTGACAATCGACGAAGACGATGCCGGTGGTTCTGGTAAGACTATATGCTGAATGATATTGGCGAAATGGGGATGTATACTCGCCCTACTCAATGCTACCATTTGCTGGGTTGCGACGCCAAGTCCTATGAGTGAGTGCAGGAGGGAACATAGCAAACACACTTTTGCGGTGTATGGCGGGACAGGGAACCAGTTCCACGAGAGAAGACCAGCTGAAAGAGATGCAACGAGGGCGCTCTACCCGATGACTTAAGCAACGCAATTGATGAGATGATAAGTTCGGGGAAACTCACCCCAATAAGTACATTGGAGATTTCGTCTTGCTTCGATTGAACGAAACGCCTTATTAAGTTCATCTTTTCGTCCTCTGAGGCAGCAGCAATAGCAGCAGCAAGAACATTTGCGACATTCTGACCATTTCCAGAGGGTGACCAAGCCATGCGAAGGTACTTCGTCGTGTACCATAGTGTCTTGAAAGGAGTCAGAATGAGGTGGCTGGGTCTTAGATATATCACTATGATTTTGCAATCTTACCCGTTTGGTGAAGTCAGTAGCTTGAGCAATAAGTCCGATCATTATGAGCTATCGATGTAAACTACGTGGGCTATCAATGACGACCTCACGTTGAATAGTATGCAGAGGTGGAGGAGGCAATGTAAAGCCGTAAACGAAGCGCCGGAAGACCTTCATTAGTACTCTGTAGTGAGGCACCCAAACACAGCTCGTCAATTTGGTTTTACATTTGGTTGTCAAGTTTGCTCAGCCGCAGCCTGCCAAGCAACGCTTGCGCTTTGTATAGAACAGGCTGGCACTGTGCCACCGCCCAGGGATAGAAAGTGCAACTTGTATTGGCTGATAATGATTATGCCGTCAGACATCTTGCATAAGCCACCGCAAAGTTCGGTCTCAGGCTGCACTCGAGCTGAGGCCCTGCAGCTGCACGGCGGCAGCGTATTGGTCGCTACCCATCATGTGGCCAAATATAGGTAATCAGGTGCTGCACAAGGTGTTATGAATCACATTTAATGTCTAAACTGCAGCTTTCAGGTCTTATGCTCCTGCCTGAATAGAGGTCTGATGACCCAAGCCACCAAATGCCCACGAGGCCTGAAATAACATGGATGCCAGCGCTCTGTATATATGAACACTTTTGCCACCGTTGTCTTTCGCCTTTCGTTTCATGCCATCCATATAGACTGTGAATTGTCCAAGAGACCCAGAAGTCACACCACTTTCATAGCTGGATCACACACCTTGCTCCTTCGCTTCACGTATCTAGAGAGAGTAATTGGACCGAGAAAGGGACAACGATAAGCGCAATGCATTATCATTGAATCAGTTTAACAACTCAAGCTAAGAAACGTGAAAGATTTCGCCGCAATCGTCTAATCAAACTGAAACCGAACCATGAACGACAGAGATGTAGCTCGTGGTCTCAGAGCGATCCACTTGCTGGTCACTCCGGCCGGAACACCAGGCCTGAGCGGATCACAGGATACTCGGCTTGGCAACGCAATCCCCCTTCCATCATATGCACAGCACTGGGGAATCAGTGTTGGCGCCATGTCCGATGCGGATGGGGGAACCTATTTTGAGCTATATCGACCGAATGGTGGAATAGGCATTCTGGCGCGTTCCGGACAGCAACGTGCCAAAGACGAGGCCAAGAATTCCAACAATTTGCTGTATCAAGATACGGACGTTGCCACATCAAAGACAAATGAAGAGATTCTAGCTATAGGTAAGTGGGCGCTCCATAAATCATTCTATTAATTGCCTTACTGAATTGATATTGCAGCAAATGAACTATGCACCGTCCACTTGCAGGGGAAATATAATCTTATTGATGGCAACTGCCAAACCGTGGCAAATATGCTGGTTGAGCGTATTGCTACAACCCATTACAATCCCCGTCAGACCTCATCACACACATTTGGGGCTTTGAGACCAGACAAAAGTGGGGCCGGGACGAGGCCCCCGTGGCAGGAGGTCGTACCTTTCCAGGGTATCAAGACTTCGACCAACCTCCAGAGCAGATGGAATGCAACGGCGAAAATGGCTCGAGAGTCAGTTCCAAGCCTTAATGCCGCAGCGACAGTTATTGAATTCAGTGCTCCTGTAGTAGGGCAACATACTAGCGCGATGATGAACTCGGCATGGATTCACAGCCAGAATATACCAATGAGGCAGCTTTATAACTCGAACAAAAATCTCTTTGGCGATGACAATCTGGAGGCAAGAGCGGCGGCAAGAGTCCAGAACGGTACCGACCTAGCCAGCCGGTGTGGTTTTAAGGACCGTCTTTTCCCCAATGCGGGGAGCAAAAGTGGTTAGGCGTGGCGTTCTTTTGTATAGGCTGAAGGCTTTCCATTACGGCAGTACAACGCAGTCCCGAAGTTGATGCATGTTTTCTGCGCACCTTTGATCTCTCTTCACTGACTGAAACAAAATGTACCAAATGGCATGATGCGGACTCTTCGCGGCGGATATTTCAAGAAAGGTAAGTTGTTTAATAGCACTGGTTGATGTGAGAAAAGAAGGTTGTGCAAATGAGTTTCAATTGAAGGCAGAATGTAACACAAGCTGCAATGATGATGACGACGCCTATGATACAAATAGCCAGGAACAAAAGTAATAATAACAGCCATGACAGTCGCAACGATTTTGATCTTAATCACAAAGAAAAAGTAATCCCGTAGGTAGGAAGTAAATCTGGAAGCAAACATACCGAGGAAAAAATCACTGATATAGTATCGAAATAATGAATAAAGATCATGTTGAAGCCTTTAGATGAAGAGTAATCCACAAATTTTCTTTCCCAGTGGGGACCATTTCAACTCTGCTAATCTAGATTTAGAGGGTATTCGTATGTGCCTCTGTTCTAACGCTTCCATGCTTGTGAAATATGTGCATCATGCTCCGGCTTCCCAGCGAGCCTTTAACTTATCGACCATCATGCGAACAAACGCCACATCCGTAACGTCTGGCAAGCTTCTTAGCGTCGGGCTGTCCTTCTTGCTCTCTTCCGTCAAGTATTCCAGCCCGCCCTTGAAGGTGCTGGCCTTGTTGCCGTACTTGCTCTCGAACCAGTCCAGCAGCTTGATTGGCGGGTTCTTCTTCGGGTCTCTTTCTGATTTGCGTAACCTCTCCATCCACTGGTCTGTTGGCAGCGCCTCGAATTCCAAACCAGCCTTGGCCAGTGACGGGAGCATCTGCTTGGTCCAGTGGAAGCGGGTCGGGTTGAGGACGTGGTAGACGAGATCTGCGTCGGAGTCTCGTCGGGCGGTCTCTTCATCCGACTTGCCCCTATCGGCGTTTGTCATGTCGAGAATGATGGCCGCGGCCAAGTCGACGGGTAACCACGACATTTCCTGCAAATGAATTAGCAAACGCCCACGTAAGACGAAAGATATCAGAAGGACTCACCTCTTCGAGTTTGGGTAGTGCCCCCAGCGTCGCAGCAGTCTGAATCATCAACGGGATTCCCTCTGTCGTATTCCACTCTCCGACCTTGCTGTCTCCAACCAACTGCCCAATCCTTAACACTCGCGCAGCCGCGCCGGCATTCTTATTCGCATTCCGCGTGATGTGCTCAGAGACGTACTTGGACCTAGCATATCCGGTGCCCTGGGCGTTCTTTGGCGTCGGCACAGGGCCTTCCTCCACCGTGCCAGGCCTCGGCGCGCCACCGGCCGAGGAAACGGACGAGCAGAAGAAGAAGCGCGCCGGCGAGGGTGTGTCGACGGATTGGCAGAGCTGGATGAGGTTGTAGACTGCCTTGATGTGCTGGTCCTCAAAGCTCTGCACGGGGATGTTGAAGTTGACGGCCCAGGCGCTGTGGATCACGAGGGTGAGGTTGGACTTGAGGTCCGCGAGACGGGACGGGGCGAGTCCGAAGTCTGGAGCGCCGAGGTCGGCTGATAGAGGGACTATCTTGGCTTCTTGGACGGGTGTGAGGGTGATGCCGCGGGAGGTGAGAGAGGTTGAGACGCGGGTTGCTGCGGCGGCGTCGTTGGGGGCGCGGACGGCGGCGTAGACTTGGGCGATGTTTGGGAGGGACGTGAGCTGGGCTAGGATGTGTGCTCCCAAACCACCGGTAACGCCGGTGACGAGCTTTGGGGACTGTTAGTGAGGGTATCTGAGTTTGAGAAGGGAAACTTACGACGAGGTCCTTTGCAGGTTTGGGAGCTGACCCTGGGACATGTGTCTTGAAAGAGGAGTACTTGGCTATCAGGTCCTCCATCTTTTCCAACTCATCCTTGACAGCATCCTCTCTGCCACTCTTCAGTCCCTCAAGGTGGCGAGCAAGTTGCTTGATGTTGCCAGTCTCGTACAGCACGTTCTGGCCGAGCTGCCCTTGTCGGCCGCCCAAATCGAGCTTCCTCTTGATCAGACTCCACGTCTGGATGCACAGCAAACTGTCGATACCGGAGCCGAAAAAGTCCGCCTCTACCGATGAGAGAGCATTCTCAGACTTCTCGTTGAGCTGTTGGAAAAGCCAGTTCTCGAGGTCCGCGCCTTCCAGAGATAGTGCACCGCCCTTGTCATTGTCATTCTCGTACCCATCATACGCGGCCTGGATCTCCTTCTCAAACTTTCGGTAAAAGGGCACCCGGATAAAAGTTCCCTTATCCGTTTTGGGATACTCGGCATTAGACGGCAGTATGACAACGAGCTCTTTCGGAATACGTGAAAATGATTCGGCTTGGGCGTTGGCAGCCTCAACAGCAGGCCAAATTTCCTCAAGAAACTGCTCGTCCGGCATGTCAGCCACGCTATCAGCCTTGACAATCAGCACACCAGGATAGTCCCGCTGCTCTCCAAAGACGATGGCCTCCTTGACGATCTGCTCCAGGCGGATGCGTCCCTCGATGGGGATGGGCAGGACCTTTTCGCCGTTGATGAGGGTGAACCGGTCGTCGAGGCGGCTGATGTACTTCCACATATCCGGCTGCGTGGGATGGCGCGTGAAGAGGTCCCTGGTGCGGAAGGAGTTTGGCGGGTCGTCCGAGTTGTTGGTGCTCTTGGAGGGCCAGCCGTCGAGACAGACGCACTCGAAGATGCCGGGGGAGATTTCGTCCATGAGGATGTACGGTTTTGCTACGGCGAGGGGGCGCATGTAGTTCCATCCCTTGTCGCCCGCTGGGCGGACGGAGTTCATGATTCTGCCGATCTCGGTGCTGTGTTGTTGTTAGTAAGTCCTGGGGGCGGAGAAGCAAGAGGTCACTTGCCAGCCGTAGTTTCCGACGAGGTAGACACCCTTGCTCACTAACAGGTCACCCAGGTCATCTGGACAACTACTGCCGCCGAAGAGCACCAGCTTCACGTTTGCGAGGGCCTGGATGCCCTCTTCTGACGCCGCGAGAAGCTTGACCACGTACGGTATCACGTGAAAGACGCCCGGCTTCACGTAATCAAGCATCTTGATGAGATTTTGACTCGTCAGGGGAATGTTGTAATTGGCCATGTAAATCGGCAGCTTGGAGTACATGGACCTGAAGATCTCGTAGAAACCATGACTGTGGAATAGAGGTGAGCAGATGAAAGCCCGCAGACCCATGTTTGTCATGGAGGCACCGATGACACTGCGATGCGTGAGGTAGATCGGCTTCGGGAGACCCGTTGAGCCGGATGAGTGGATGATGGCCATGATCTTCTTGTTCTCCTTCTCCGGGTCGTACGACCTCGTGAACCGGGGAGCTTCCTTGCCGTAATAATCCGAGTGTTGGATGAGTGGCAGAACCTCGAGTTGGCGCTGCTTCTGAACTTCTGAAAGGACAGGGTGGAAGTTTGGCGTTGTCAACATGGAGGTGCAGTTTGCTAGTTCGCACAGGCGGGCGATGGCTGGGCTTGCGAGACGCGTTGAGATGAGAAATGCCGCGCAACCCAGACGGTTCAGAGCCATGATTGTGATTGCGACGTGAAGTCCGGATTGGGCGAGAATGCCTACCACCGGGGACTGTTCTAATGCTGGGTCCTGCTCGTCGTCAGTAAAGGTACGTGTGAGGATTTTTAGGTGGCCTACTGCCGGAGACACGCCCAGTTCCTGAAGCCGTTGTGCCGCCGTATCGACATATCTGTCTATGGCGCGAAAGCTGTGTTCTTCAAAGTCCAATAGTCCCTCCTTGGGGTATCCGATAGCAACCGCATCAGGGATCTCTAGCGCGCGACGGCGGACAAGCTCGTCGACGGTGTATAGGGGTCGGTCGAGCTCTGATACCGTCAACTTTGACGACGTCGTGGTTGTTTGCGTCGCCATGGTGAAGATACTTGCAGGATTAGCTCTACAAGGGATGCGGTGTAGGATGTCGAGAGGTGAAGATGGTCGAGCCCAATTTATGTAGTTGGCTCCCCCCACCCGGTCGGCAGCACGTATCCGTTGCAATTCCGTCCCCGCCGCACGCAAGGGCATGCTTGGCGCTCCGGGCCCGGGGTGAACCCCGCGTTTCCCGCATGACGTTTTTTCTGCCCTACAATGGATCTGCGATCGGGGAAGTTTGCTGATGTTCGTAGCTACGAGCATCTGTTACCGTTCCGGTGGGATGATTGTTAATTCCGGTCACTGACGTCCCTGGATAGACAGCAGCCACGAGGTGTTGCGGAAACCCCTCCGTGAGAGTTGTGGATTTGCCGGCTACAGATGGGTCCACTTCTACGGATTCTCCCTTCAATTCAGTCCAGATGTTTGAAGATATGATTGGGGAGAACTCGAAGTATCCAGAGAGATGGATCTCGAGGAGGGATGAGGGGGCCTTGTGTAGCCAATCATAATTCGCCCAGCGGTTCGTCGGCTGTTTCGCTTACTTCCCGGAAACAAGAACAAGTTGCCAGGCTCTGTTTTCCGGATGAACAAGAGGCCATTGACAACGAGGATTCAGCTTATCGGACCCATACTTGTGCATGTCACTGAAGCCGTCGTGCATAGCCGTCAGGATAGCTCCGTTGGTTTAAATGGCTTTCATGGCCCCGAGGTTTGGACCATTAGAAAGGCAGGCAACCCCTCGTTTGCGGTTACAGACGGCGCTATTTCGTCGGCTGCAGATGGAGTGTGCCAACATACCTGCTGCCACCGAGACTTTGGCCCGCCATCATGCCTTCGCTAGCAAGCATCCTTCGATGGGTCCAGTCTACCCCACGGGGAAGCCAAGATTTCATACATGTACCCCGGATTCAGAAGTTCTCGCTACCCCAGACTTGCCCACTTGCGGCGGTGATTTTGCCTACGCCTGGGAGAAAGCCTCGCGTGAGGTGAACTTGATTGGTGCAATATTGCGAACATTTGCTTTGGATGACTGAGGATAGGAATTTGGTCTGAGACGTATCCGTCCATCTTTAAGCGTCTGTAGCAGCGCCGCGCGCGTGGGCGAAATGACTTAAAACCTCTTCCCAGTTCCGTAATTCAACATGATAATCACCTTATGAACATTCTGTCCCAGTTGTTTTCGTGCAAACATCGACGAAATCCCCAAACCCTCATCATCATGGCTGTCAGTCAACAACCTCAGGTACAAGGACCCAGAAACTTGCGTCGTTAACTATGTCGACTATTAAGAAGACCTGAAGCCCTAGTCAATGAAGAATTATTTTATGAATTTTAATATAACTAAAAGGAATATAAGGACCTTTTTTCCCTCTACTTTAACCTAAGCTAGTCTCTTTAACTACTATATCTTTAAATAAAAATAATAATAACGATTAGTTCTTAGAACTATTTACTATACTTTTTATTAAATATCTTATTAACATCTTTTATATTATTCTTAATTTTTAGATTCTTAACGATCTTTTTAAATCTCTATTTAACTTAATAGAAAGTTTAATTCTAAAGGTCTTCTAAAAGCTTAATATATATTATAAAAAATATAAAAATACTATGTTACTATTCTTAATTATAAAAACATAACTAAAGTGTTATTAAATATATCGTAAATTAGTTTTTTTAGATATTTAATATTATTAATAGTAAAAGTTACATAAATTAAATAAGAAGTATATACAAGATTTATCTTAGAGAGCTTTAAATTTAAGCTATAATATAATAGGGGGCTATTTCTATTTAGCTAAATAGTTTAAAAATTCTTTTTATATACTTTATTATTACAACCCGTTATGCAGGAATAACAGATAACCAACCCACTTAGGCATCAGGCGGCTAGGACAGGACATTTGTACTGCAGGATCATAGGAACAACAGGGACTCACTCGGAAACAGAAGAACTATAGTCTAAGTTACATGACAATAAGATAACGATCATATTAGATCAATATGATCCAACACAACTTAGGGCTGAACGATCATTCTGGATCAGAATGATCCAGATCAACCTAAGGTATAAAAGAACATATTCAGAATTAGACTTATATATAGTATAACCTTAAGCCTAGCTTATAGTCAGACTTCTATAGCTTTTTAGTAATTAACTTAATATTAATCCTTATAAATACTTTTAGCTTACTTTTACTATAAATTACTTATTAAGTCTAAAACTATTATTTTAGCCTCTAAAGAATAATCTATTATAGCTTATAACCTATAGCCTAAACTATAACGTTAGTATATTATTATAATATCTTAATCTCTAGCTTTTATTAATAGACCTTACTATTAGATAGCTAATTATAATATTCTAATTACTCCTATTTAGTAAGTTAATTATTAATACTTATTAGTAGTAAAATAATAAGTATATCTTCTTATGCTTCAGCTAAGTCCCCTACCCTAAGATCTTTATCTTCCTTATATAACTAGCCTTAGAGTCTAATATAGGAACTTATTAATATTAAAGACTACAATATATTAGACCTTAAGTATAACTCTAATAAAGAAAGCTCCTTTACTAAAAAAGCTTATACGTTTCTCTAATATATTATTTAGAAATAAGACGCTAAATCTAAGGAAATATAGACCTTTATTAATAAGAGTAAGCAGGCTATAAACAGCCTCAACAAGCAACTCCAGAACGCTAGATAAGCCTATAAGAAACTTAAGAAGGATATCAGAGGAGACGCCAACCTCAAGAAGGTTTAAGAACTCTAAGAAGAACTTAACACCTTTTAAGCTGCTGCTAATATTATTACTACCCTTATTAGAGGATAACAGAAGCTTAAACTTAGCACCCCTATCACCTATAATAGCACCTCTAGATAACTTAAGTTATTCCTAATCTAAGTTAAAAACTACTAGAACTTCTACTATAGTAACTTCACTAGTTAAACTAAAAAAGTAGTTTATATAGCTACCTACTTTTATAAAAGAGCCCTTAAGTAGTTTAAACCTATTTAAAAAGAATTTCTTAAGTATGAGATCCTAAATAATTGCTCTATTAAAACCTATAATATCTATAGTAGTTTTTAAAGATTTAAAATACTTTATGCTCTCTCTTCTAAAACCTTAATAAGAAATAATAAGTAGAAAGAGAACTAGCGTAATTATAATAAGTTAAGTTTACTAAGGAATATACCACTATATTCTAATAACTTAATATCTAATTTAACCTTACTAAAGAAACTAAGATCTTTATATTTTATTAAGGACTTAAAGATAACGTCAAAGATGAAATTATTAAGATTAACTAACCTAATAACTTCCTCTAATATATTAAACTTGCTATTAAAATTAATGATTAAATTTTTAAATGCTATAAAGAAAAAGGCGAAAAGTAATAAAGACTAGACTTCAGATATAAATACTAATAGCAGCCCTAGCAGAAATTTAACTACTAACAGAATAATAATAAACCCTATAATAACTAGAGTAATACCTAATAGAATACTACTTATAGATAATATAGCAGACCTATAGATCTCAGCATAATAACTAAACCTAATAATAAGAAGCCTTAGAACCCTAAGTGCTATGATTATAATAAGTAAGGATATATTACTAAAGATTATAAATAACCTAAGAAGCTCCCCTAGAAGCTAATAGCAGAACAACCTTAATAAGTTAATATAATTGCAAAAGCACTATATATATCCCTATTATAGACTAGATGCTATAATAATAATTACTAAATTCACCATAAAAATAAAGTAATATTAGGATACTACTTAAGGGATAGCAGCCCTAAACAGTTTAGATATAATATAACTATCCTAGACACTCACCCTAGGACCTTAGCAATAATATATTCCAGTAACAGCAAAATCGCTAGAAAACTAGTTAAATAACTTAATAAGATACTATAAATTCAGCAATTAGAGCTAATCACCCCACATATAACTAGCTAACAACTCCACCATAAAGAATAATAAATCTAGAAGGAAATAGAGCTAATCTAGTGTTACGACCCGACAGGCATGACACGTTGGAACAGCCCCGCCTGGCATCTCGGCGGCTAACACAGAACATATGTAAGCAGTAACACAGGTGTAACCAGGAACCATCGGGAAAGGAAGAACTATGGTACAGGTCACGTGACTTTGGGAACAGCACGGATACAGGGCAAAGATGGATATGTTGGATATGTCCGCTATCCCAGCTATCTATGGATATGTTGGATAGCACGGATATCCTACATAGCCACCACAAGAGATACTGTGCAGAACTTATATATAGTATGACCTGAGCCTGGCTCATGGTCAGACTTCTATAGCTCTTTAGCAATCAACTTAGTATTCATCCTCAGGATACTCTCAGCTTACCTTCACTGCGAATTACTTGTTGAGTCTAAGACTGATCACCTTAGCCTCTGAAGATCTGATCTACTGTTAGCCTACGACCTATGACCCAGACCACGACCAAGTGTACTGTTATTACGTCTCAATCTCCAGCTTCTGTTAGCAGACCCTACTGTCGGATAGCTGACCGTAACATCTAGTAAGAAGATAACAGATAAATATAACTATATCAATAAGCAAAATCTAAAGAAAAACCAAAACATCAACATAACCCCCTAGAGGAATAATAACTATTTAATCTCACTAATAACTAAACTTTTAGAGAAGGAGAAAGCTCACCCTATAACTCAGATAAACCTTATAATATTGCTTAATAATATGCATAGATAGAGATCGCCTATAAACTCACCCCCAGTATAGATAGCACTAGTTCTAAAGAAAACTCTAACTCTAAAGAAATGATATAATAAATCCTTTAATATAAAGAAGTAGATACATTCTAAAATAAACAACAGCAACACTTCTATAGAATCTCAGTAGCATAATAAAACTGAGATTACACCCCTAAGCTCTATATAGAGGACTACCCTGCTCTATAAAGGAACTATTAATAGTATTAAACCCTCTTCTAGCCTTAAT